CCCTTTAAAAAGCTCACAAATTGACTCTCAGAATCCCAGTGTCTGATCTGAAGTATAATGTAGTTAATTGCTGCATAGTTGCAAATAATTGGATTATGATTTTATACCACAGTGCTGTTGAATTCTCAGTTCGGATTGGTCATTGATTGGTGCTGATTCCTTTCTAAACAAATAGCAGCAAGGTTTGTGTCTATGTGCTCCTTCTAATATGTTATCATTTCTATAGTAACATCATAGACAGGGACATTAATATGGTGAAGTTTTCTGTGATGAGATGTATGTTTAGCCTTTCTGGAAGGAGACTTCAGTGATTGTTTATAGCTGCTATAAAGTAAGTCATAACTAAATTCTAACTAATTTGTTTTATAAACTATAATATGTTCATACAACTTCAATAAATAAAAATTGTAATAATTGGCAAATTGTAGTGTTATAAGAGGAATAAAACACTGTTCTTGCTGGGACACTGGGACATGCTGCCTTTGGAAAAGAAAGAACTTCAGGGTGGTAATAGTAACTTCACTTTGGGCCGCATCACACCACCCCATCGTTGATTATTTTCCTATAACATCTAGCCCTGTCGTGTTTTCTTTCCTACACATTACAGAATGCAGATGAATCATCTACTTTGAGACCTTGTATTTTGCTGTGTAGAAATTGTGACTGACGATAGAAAAGTTATGTATTTCTATGTATCTAAAATATTTCACTATATCACTTTATTAACAACTGCTTTTCAAACAGCTCTGTGTATCTGTTGTGCTTTGACCGTGTGTGTAGACTAACTTTTGCTAGCCTTGACCTAAAAAACAGCTCATAGCGCTGATCTCTTGGCCTAATGAAGCAGCAAAGCTCACAGTGAAAAATACTCCCACTTTCTCTCTGTCTCTGACAGGTTTTTGTAAGTATTCCCATTCCTGTTAATTTGTTAGCTAATATATGGCTAGTTTTGTTAAATATTCAAACTGCTTTTGAGATTCAAGCTTTCTTTAAAGAATCTTTTCATAATTTAGTTGTGGCTTTTTAACCTGTGTAGGTCCTTATTCGCATTTATTCTCACGCTCTCACTTTTCTCTGTTCTGAAAGTGCACACTGAAAAACTGAATATACCTTTGAATATCACAAAAGTTTCTTTGAGAAGTTTGTCTTTACTGACACTGTGTGAAAATCCATATAAAGCATATCTGGCTTCATGGAACGAGGGATGGATACAGGGATAAATTGTGGAACAATGTGAATGGTTAGTGCTCCGAGCCAGGAAAAGCTTATTTTTACTCAGCTAGCGTTGCAGGTCCATGCACTGATTCATCTCACTGCAGCAGTACATCTCAAAGCTTTACTGCCTCTCCTCCAGAAGCAAACACTTTGCAAAATACGAGTCAGAGAGATTCCAAAAGCAGAATCAAAGGGCTACAGAGATGCCATGAGACATGAACTGAATTTCCTCCTTTTTTTTTTTTTTTTGCTTTCTACCTTTTTTTGTGTGACTTTCAAAGGCTCGTAATGTGTTGAGAATGAGACAGTAAAGATTCTTTCTGATGCTTTACTCTCGTCGGTGCAGTACACATCACGGCGGGAGTTCTTTTTAGTTGAATATTTATGTGCCGAAGTGAATTCTAAAGACCAGTAAGGCCTCCAAGCACCTTGTACACAATCCTCGTCAGATAATACATGCACAAGGCCATGTTAGGTCTTAGAACAGGCTTTCTGATGGGGAAAAACTGTTTGGCCAAAACTCATGATCGATTAAAGTTGTTAATATGTGAGATGACCGTTTTAAAGAGTGAAAAGTCAAGAAAAAGTCAGCAACACCCTTTCCTTCTCTTTTCGGTAACAGTACTATTAACTGTGAAGGGTTTTTGGGTACTTTTTTAAATTTCCAGAAGAAAGAGTTGTTGGATTGTCACTTGGAACCCTTTCTGAAAGGAAAAACCATAACTGCACGGTTCTACATAGAACTTTTAAACTTTTAAAACTCCACCCTGAAACTCATTAAATATGCTTATTTTTAAATATTTGTTATATGTTTAGAGATTCTGGTGCTAATTTGGTGGCTGGTACTGTATTTTCATTATTCCCGTGAGAAGGAAGCTGTTGTCTGCCACTGTGATGGCACAGGGGGGACATTTGCTGTCACAATGGTGTTTAATAGGAGACAAATCTGAGTTTCTCAGTTAGCTCCTAAAAACAAAAGAACAAGAGCTTCTTCTCTCACTCACCATTTTCCGGCAATGTTCTATGTCATATTTATGAGAAATCCCACAGAGAATTAGTGGAGTTACAGCAGCAACTCGGCTCAGCTAGTTAGCGATCTGTGAGATGATAAGCACGATGACGCTGACTGTGGTATTAGCATGTTTGAACAGAGTGTACAGATGAGGAGGTGAGATATCTGATCAGACTAAAGAACTAAAGCACTGCTGCATTGCTCTCTTTAGGTAGAGATGAAGCAAGGGCTAAATCCTAATGGCACCACTATCAGCAGGTAGTCAAACAGCATTGTGGGTAGTGTAGGAAATCGGTAACCAAAGATGTTGTAGATGAGAGAATTTTAAACTTAAAAAGTCGACTTGGTGGATTTTTAACTTTAAGGGTTCTAGACATGTTAAGATTCACACTACAGATCAAGACCTTGGAATTATAAGAATCAGATATTTCTGTGATTTTGAGATTTCTAAGTGAAAGCAGATACTTTTAAGCAATTGGTATAAAACTTCTCACATATATTCAGTAGTATGTAAATAACACATTTATAACATTCACTCACCTTTTTCCAAAATAGTCATATAGAACCTTATACATTTCAAAGTCTTATGAGTCTCTTCATAGCTCTGAAAATGTTTTGAATGTTTTGATCATTGAACGTGTGCCAGTAATGCCAACGGATTATCTGAGAAATCTGAATGGAGTTATAGATGTGACATTGCTGCAGTTGTGGCAGATACGAATTTCTGAACTTCTGACAAACACATTGTGAATTGCCAATATGGAGGCCTTGTTTTGAGATTCCTAGCCTGACAATGCAGTGTATTCCATAACATGGGAAACATTCATCAACATTTATATGACACCGTGCAGTAATAACATTAGGGATACATGTTGTTCTTTGTTTGCCAATTAATTTGCTATTTGTCACTATTGTTTTGTTCCGCCCTGGAAAATAAATGTTGTTGACATTGTATAGTTCCTGCACAGTGGTAGCTTTTGTCTCGCCAGGTGCAACGATTCTTCCTCTTTCTCTCTCTCTCTCTCTCTCTCTCTCTCTCTTTGAACAGCAGTACTCCAGCTCCCCTTCTCCCCGCTGAATCGGTTTAATTAGTCACCACTGTCTGTTGTCAGTGTTGCAGTGCTGGCTCGTTCAGCTCCCGTGGCGCTTCGCCCGTGCCAGAATTCTGAGCCCAGCAAACGCTCTCAGAAGCATCGGGGGGAACCAGCAGGTTTTCAGTGGGGAAGAGAAGCACTGAAACATGCCGCTGGCCTCTGCGGAGTCAACTTTGTGTGTTTGCCAGTGTTTGCTCTTGGTTAACTTAGGTGTCTTAAAGAGGAAAAGCTCACGGATGCGCAAGATGGGAATGTGTGATAATGCAGCATTGTGTTAGTGTGTTACAGCTGTAACTCCGGCAGGAGTTGCTCTCCCAAACTGGCTTCATTTTTTTAGCATGTTAAGTGGATTCTGGCTAGGAAGGTGCATGTGATTCTCTTGGAATAGCATTAAAGGAGAATTACAGGGTGTCAGACCCCAAGTGACTCATCCAGCCGAGGCAGAGCCTATTTTTGGGCTGAACTTCAGATGTCATTGTGGTAAATACAGCATGGAATAGGTGAGAAGCTCCCCAAATTTCCTCTCTCCCTCATCAATATTAAAGAAAAATAGGAAATCGGTCGGATAGGTCGTGTAGACTGAGTCAGATAATTACTGTTCTTCTGCAGAAACATGATGTGTTTGACAATGCTGATTGGCCTGTAGACGTACTAGCAGGGAATACTCTAATAGTGGTAAAATCTGCAGCATAGGTAACAGGCTACTATTAAAGCATAGATGAATTTGATTTAAATGAATAGGAATTGATTGAGAACATTTGCACATTGTCAGAAAAACTGAAACAGCTGTTCTCATGCAAAGCAAACAGTAATTTTCCACGTCAAACCTCGCATATGTAGAACACTGGAAATGATATTCACGAGACCAGTGAACATGAAATGAAATGAAATGCCACCAGGGTGAGAAAGAAAGCTGATCTTAAACTGTTAACACGAGCTACAAGGCATTTTCACTCATTTTGTCTTATTCTGTGTTTGAAAGAGAACATAGTCATACTGAGGCAGTACCAACACTCTCCACATTGCTCTAGGCTCAAGATGTTTTTCTGTCCAGCAGCTGGCAGTTTTCTCCAAAAATGCAAAACTGCTGTAATGATTGATGGAATAGCCAACAGAAGCAACTCACATTTTGTTTCTATTTTCTCCATCCTGCTGTTCAAGACCTGTTTGTGTTTATGTATCAGTTATATAACATGATGTGTCTTGACTGTTATGTTATACCTCTCACTGAAAAAAAAAAAAGTAAGGAATAAAACGTGATGGAGAACACCGCTATAGGAAAATAATCCCCAATAGGGTGATGTGATTTGGCCTGATATGAAGCGGAATTACTGTTTCCACCCTGAAGTGGATTATTTTGTTATAACATGTCCCAAAGTGTTTTATTCCTCTTGTCCCACAGCAACTTGCCAACAATTCCAACAATCTTTAATTTATTAAAGCACTATTAACCAATTATAAGTATGTTTTTTAAGTACAATTAATATTCTGGAAAACAAGTAAAAAACAAGTTTCACTTATGTTATAAAAAATACGAAGTCATTCCCTCCCCAGTCTCTCTTTTTTTGTCATATCCGAAGTTAATAAAGCGAAAAAAAACAAAACAAAAAAAAAGACAGCTTGTCATATTACCAAAAAATCGGGAAGCAAAAAGTCCTGAAGACTATTAAAATGTTGGTGCCTGGCTAGCTCAGTCGGTAGAGCATGAGCCTCTTAATCTCAGGATGGTGAGTTTGAGCCCCATGCTGGGCACCAAACCCAGCCACTGGGGTGGCACAAGCTAGTGCATTCTCAGTGCCGGTCCCAAGCCCAGATAAGATGGGAGGATTGCGTCAGGAAGGGCATCCGGCATAAAAATCCTGCGATCATAAACCAGATTTCCATAATGGAAACGGGTGATTCGCTGTGGCGACCCCTACCGGGAGTTAATAAGTAAAATAAATAAAAATAATAAAAGTTTTTTATGAACACATTCCTTTGTTTAATCATATTTTAATGGATACCAGCTGCTGTGATGAGAAACAAACAGGATTACCCAACTGGGATGATGCATTTTTCCTGTTTCTGTTTGAAAGCTACTAGCCAGATAGCTACACTATAAGCACAGAGATCTGGAGGTGAGAGCCGGTGAAGTAGCCTGCTCGGGTTTACTGCAAAAGAAAAGGATTTATAACATAAGGTGTAATTTTTAATATGTTATTTTAATCTTTTTCAGTGGAGCTGTCATAAAGATATTTTATGGCAACGTTTGTTAATATGAAAAGATTGTTTGATGGTAGATTGTGCCTTAAATGATTAAATAACAAATTTGTGTCATCACTGCTCCCTTTTGACATTCATCTGAAACGCATGAGCACGTCATAACCTGCAAATATAATTGTACAGATCAGGAAAACAATATGATTTTAGATTGTATATTTCCTCGTCCCACTGAAATTAATCTTTATGGCTACTCCACTGCCAGCACAACGCACGACTCATTTTTAATTTTGAGTGTGACTTACATCAAGCATAGCACACGGCCTGCATTCAGGCCGCGTTAAGGCCAGCCACGGTAGAAACCGGAGTGCACGTATATATGGTGGTTTATGGTAACTACCCTTTGGATGGGAAAAAAGGCTGCTGTTTGTTGGTTTTAGTTAAGCACTGTGAGATATAAGTTTATTTATGTACTACAGGCCATTTCAATATTATTTTTTGTGCCTTAGATTATGTAGAGCATCCTCAATCCAAATCCCTGTAAATGACATATCAGAACAAAAAACGTGCAAGTGCGAAAACCTATTAGAACAATTGCATTAATATAAACCCATGATTTAAATTACAACCGGCACTATTGCCTGAGCTGCTCCTATAGAAAATTAATCAACCTTGTGACTAATCAAATTGGAGAATTCAAAAGCACTCTAGTATAAATATGTATAAATGATCCTGAATCGCTAGATCCTGTATAGCTACATAGGCACATTTTTAAACTGCAGTATTTTGTCTCAGAGGTGGTTAAATTCTTGCCTTTGAGTCTTACTCTGTTTTCCTTTCTGTTTCTTTCACAGGTTTACATTCCCTGCAGAACGGCTGTTGTTCTAGCCAACGAAGAAATCGATTACTGCTACTGAAACACAGTGATTCACTGAGAGATTGATACTCAGCAAATGTGTCTCTCCACTGATTTCCATCTAAGATTTGTGCTTGATACACCATAACACCCTCACTCTGTTTCTTCACCTTTCCACTCACAATAGTTTCTAAACAAGACCTTGTTTGTTTTCAGCATAACACACTGGAATTAATTTGCCATATAACATGTAATTGGGGAAAAAATGGTAGATCGTAGTGCATCTCATGGTTGCTGTTACAGTACGATACATAAATAGTACGTTTTTCTAAAACTGTGAGTAAACACCATCTGGCCTTAGTACATGGTATTTGTTTGCTATAACTACTGATACTGCTATTAATCTCTGTCTGAAAAAAAATTAAATACATGTGGTGGCACTTCACCTGAGGGTTGTGTTCATACGACTACATGATATCAACATAACCCCTTCATGACAACTGACATAAACCTACATAGATGTTTATAAAAGCTTATTCCCATAAGTATCAGCTGTCAGCTTTTGGTCATTTAGTTAAGTATACATAAATCCTAGACATATTTTTGTTGACATAAGGTTCGATTATAACACTTTCAGGGTTGACTTACGTTCAAACAACGTGACTTTGTAAATCTCTGCACTTTGGATATGTCAGAGTCACATACTGCTGATAGTGAACACATTATCTTAATCATTACACTGTAACAACACTAGAACAGAGATGTGTATATTTTTTGGCCCTTACATGAGTTTAAATTAGAGTGCGTTTGGTTCTGATGTTACATTATCGTCATTATATACAAGTGCACTGAGCTATGAAGTCAGTGAAAATGATGTTCTAATGTAATCCAGCCCAGAAAATGTCACACCACAACCATATGTCAACAAAATTCTCTGTCACATGACTCAGTTGTAATGTCAACCTGACATCAAAATTAGCAAAATCAGTTTTTAAGACAGCTGACACCATAAAAAAGTAAACCTTTATAAGTATTCATACACTGTAGTGGACTGGTATCTCATCCAGGGTGTATTCCCACTTTGTACCCACTGTTCCTGGGAGAGGCTCCGGAGCTGCTGTGTCCCTGACCAGGATAAAGAAGTTATTGAAGATGAATGAATTAAATGTTTATGTCAGTTGTCATGATGAGCTTATGAAGGTGTTATGTTATCCTGGGAACACGCTTAAGTAAAGTGTTAGCACATACTGTATGGTGACACTGATATTATGGTACCTACTGAAGAAAATTCTTCCTGATATTTGTTGTAACTACACTGAGAATGTCTAAACGTGAATTAAGATACATGTCATGTGTGAGCCGTTCAATGTGGAGAAAATGTAAACGTTTGAGTAATTTCCAGGTTTGGTTTGTGGTATTTTGTAAGTTCCGATAGGCTGACTCTATTAATTTGGTGTTCCTTGCAATGTTTTTTTTTCCCAACCACTAGACTAATGGATGGTAGGAAGATGATTTGATGATTGTTTGATCTTAGTGGGAGGAAATGAACTAAAATGTTGAATGTAATATCTTCAGAAAGACTAAATATCTGAAAGCAGAAAAAAAAAACCACTTCTGTGTATTGACTGAATAAGAAAAACATATCATCTTCTCTTAGTATGTTGTATTAAATAAATTTTCTAAAATTGTCTCCTGATTGTTACAGAGGAGATCCTGCCCTATGAATCACCAGCTGTATATTCAGGCCATCTATGTTTATAAAGTCTGAATGATTGTGAATGAAATGACCACAGACACTGTGCTAATGGGGTCCCACTTTATTTAGAGAAGGTGTTGACTATTTCGAGAAAGTCTAACAAGGATTTGAGTTATGATGATTGTTTCGATTAGGCCCAGAATAAGGTGTTAGTTACTATATATATTTATATATATTAATCTGAATGTTAGTTATGAACCATTTACCCATTTAAGTCAACTGTAAATGAAGTGTTGGCACAAATTCTCCTTTTGTGTATTGGTATCGTCAGTTAAATAAAACCTCGCAGTATTATAATGGGTAAATGGGCATCACACTGTCCCATTATAATTTTCGTCTATTATGAACTTTCCGTTGCCTGCCTTCCCTCTTCAACAGCAGTGTTTCTCATTAATGTCGAGTAGCTACTTGAAGATAATGCTGGCCTGCTTTTGAATCCTCTATAGAGAAAGCAGAATGAATCTGTGTGTAAATACATTAGGGGTTATTATCCTGAACCTGCTCTGCTGAATAAATAAAGAGCCTTTTTCCTTTGCCCTCTGTATTTAAAGAGACACACCTTTCGATCTGCTTTGTGTTTTGATCAAGCCGCATTGTCCTGTAAAAAAAATAAATAAATAAGATGCTCGTATAGAAATAATGAGGCTCTAGACGTCTCTCTGTCCACAGAAGTTAATAGAGAAATTGTGTGTGTGTGTGTGTGTGTGTGTTAGTTTTTTCTTTTAGTCATACCTTTGAATCAAATCTGTTTTGGGACAAAAAAGTGTTGTAGCTATTTTCTCATTGAAAAGCTGTGTTTTTGTGAAAGATGAAAGAGATAATTAAAAGTAAGTGGATGTAATCATGTACAAATTTCTGTGGAAATGTAATGTTTTTGAATTTCAGTTTTCTCCTTAGGTTCAACGCAGTTATCCACGGTTTTCAGTTTTGTGGAAAAAAAAATATAATATACATACACTGCAAGATGATGTGTTGTCATGGTTATTATGTACAGATGGATGACAAATGAAAGAAATATTTGAAAAAACAGTGTCTCTGTTACACTGTACGAAGCATTTTTCTGGCATGGTTTAGGTCCACTTGTCCTCTTAGACAGAACAGTCACTGCAAATCAATACAAAGTTCTTCTGATCACCTTTACCCTATGATGAAACATTTCTATCCTGATGGGGGTGGTCTCTTCCCGGATGACTCTGCTCCTACCCACAAGGCACAAGGTCACTGGATGATTTGATAAGGATAAAAATGATGTAAATCATATGCTATGGCCTTCACAGTCACTGGATCTCAACCCAACTGCACACCTATATGAGACAGTTAGACCTTGTGCTCTACTGCCATAATCAAAACATCAGTTGAGGGAATAACTTTTGGAAGAACGGTGATCATTCCTTCAGTGCCATTCTAGAGACTTGCAGAGTGTGTGCTAAGCCACACTGAAGCTGTTCTGGATCTTGTGGTGGCCTAAAATCTTACTTAGACTACCTTACTTTTTTTGTTGTTTTTTCCTTTAATTTGTCACCTGTCTGTATGTATTGTGTATAGTGTTGCCCTGAATGCCACAGGCTCATATATCTGTTTTTTATATTAAGATATTATAGGACTTGCATCTCATCCAGGATGTATTCCTAATTGATGCCCATCCACCTCGACCCTGACCAGGATAAAGCACTTCCTGAAAGTGAGTAAGAGGACTTTGTTTATATATATATATATATAATATAAGTGCTGTCAGTAGTGGTGATAAGATCATTTAAGTGCTACAGCAGCATATACAAATAATACATAAATAAAATTACAGGAACAAATAATTTCGATAAGGATATAAATAATATAATAATAAGATTTTAAAAAATTGTGTAGATAAATACAGATACACAGAGCTGTGCAAATATAATTATGTACATCTTAACAGTACCTGAGGAACTATTAGTGCAAGAT